GGGCTCATGCTTATAACAGTAGCTTGGTGGAGTAGACTCATTTAGACCAATATAATCATTTGGTTTTAGCCAGGTTTCAGTCAAACAGAGTACATCAAAACTATTATCTGTGATCATTTCATTTACAATAACTGCTTTGGGTGAGAGTGATCTGATGTTTAGGAGTCCAAACTTTAAAAATTGTTTTTGTTTATTTATTTTAAATTTTTCTGGTTTAATCACGATCAGATTTTTTCTAGAGCCTGCATTAAATTTATATTTTGACCTCACTATTCGGGGAACAGACACAGTCTTTATAGATTGTACAGCGCAAGTACTTCTATCATTTAAGCGGGTAGAACAAAAGTCATCAGGGCAGTTATTTGAGATTTGACTTAGTAGTCATATGGTGCGTAGCGTCCTGGAGATGTTGTCCAACAGGTGTTCCGCTCCGACTCTGCTGGGGTGCAGGCCATCAGCGCGAAAAAGCCTAGGACGCTCCCAGAAAAGAAGTTAAGTGGCTTGTGGCAGCCAAGTGTTCATAGCAACGTCGCTTTTTGATCCTTCGATGTCGGTTCTTCCTATCATTGTGAAGCAGAATTCACCAAGCATTGGATTGTTCACCCACTAATAGGGAACGTGAGCTGGGTTTAGACCGTCGTGAGACAGGTTAGTTTTACCTTCAGTTTTACCTTTCATATGTTAAGTTAAGCCAGATCTTCAGAAAGGAAATATAGTACTGATTGTGGATAGTTCAGCACCCCGTGGTTCCTGGCCCATAGGAAGAGTGATTGAAGTTTTACCTGATGCCAAAGGGTTAGTGAGGATTGAAAAAGTGAAGACAAAGACTGGTGTATTGGAGAGACCTATTATAAAACAGTGCCTGTTACTAGAAAATGCTAAAATGCGATTGGAAGGCTTGGAAGCTTGCCCAGACTGACTGGACAAACTTAGATAAGTATTCTTATATATTAAGTATTCTAGACTTCCAAAATGGGGATGGGCTGAGTCTGGGGTGTGGCAAGACTTCATTATCTCATCATGAACCTCTTCTTCTGTGGAGCAACTGTTCACCAATATCATGTAAAGACAAGAATGAAAAAAAAATAATAATAATAATAATAATGCTCTTAGGGCTTCTGTACTGTAACACACACATTTGTAACTCCATACTCTGTATGGAAAAAACATGTGTAGTGATATTTTTTTTTTCTGTAGTGCACATGTATTTTTTGGAAGTCCCGACTTAGCTGATGTACTTTGACTTGACATTAGGTAGCTGCCAGTGTTTTCCAAAGTAACGATGAAACACTGCTGTGACAATGACTGTGCTCACCTCAGGGCCTCATTTGGGTGTGCCTCGTGGCTGACTCATGTCCTGAGGACCCAATGTAAGCAGCTACTTTTTCGTGTATGCGACCTTATTACAGCAGTCTGTCAGAATCACTTCAAGAGGTTTTCTTTGGCAAATCTCCTGACAGGAAATTGATGATTTTACAATAGAAAATTAAAAAAAATTAAAATAATGTAAGAATTTACTGCTAACAACTATGCTTAACCCATATAAAGTCCTACAAATTTTACAGACTGGTGTTTTAGTGCATTTCCTGCAAATATGGAAAAAAATAAAGGGTCTCATATATTAAATATTTGCAGTGTCACATGGATAGTGCAAAATGTCACATGACCAAAGCAGTTTACTTCCTGTTTGCATCATGAGAACATGATGGCTGCTTAAAAGCTCCAAAACAAAAGGCTAGTAAAGTATGTTAACAATGTCACGGGTGTGTGTAGGAATAAACTCACAAAGATGCAGATGAACGTAAGAGCGAGATTGAGGGGCCATTTACACGAAAGCGTTTTCAGTCAAAAACGGGAAACTTTTTTTGCATTTTGCCTGTTCGTTTACATGACAACGGCGTTTTGGGGACTGAAAACGCATATTTTTGAAAACGGGTTTCAAAGTGCAAGTTTTTGAAAATGCCACTGTTTCCGTGTAAACACCCAAAACGGGAATCTTTGAAAACGGTGACGCCATGCACGTGCATAGTACGTGTTAGGTATGTAGACATGTGCAGTATGTGTCGATTATAAAGGCAAGCACGAACAAACATACACAACAATGGAGGAGTACATGGTACTGTTGTTGCTGTTGAAAGTATACCAGAATATTCCACTGCGTTCCTGGACACACAATTTGCATAGCTGTAATTCATAGGTGGGAATTATGCTAATTGTGAATGAGCGTGCACGAGCGCCCTATTTACGAAACGGATTGGAATTCATTAACACACATGTTTAACTATCAAATCGTAAGTTTATGAAACGTTTGTGAATCCGGAGGAGAGTTTTCGGGAAGGTCTGTTTTACGTGCAAATTACTCAGAATTTACAGAATTTACTATTTACGCAAGTTTCATGAATGAGGCACATTGTGTGTAATTATGCGAGTATCATTTAAAAAAGGATGTAAGTTATTAACTTTTTTAATTTCTCATTTAAAAATCTAGTGTTTAATCATGTCTAAATATTTATTCAAATGAAGAACTTAAAAATAAGTAAACAGGTATTACCTGCAATATTCTAGATATATTTAGTAAAGAGCCATACAGCTACCTAGTGGGTAAACCATGGCATTACAAATAAATAAAAAAATCTGACCACAAAATGACTCTAATTTGCCTCTTTGCATTGGAATTTAAGACTATTTTCTCTATTTTAACCTTACATACTACACTAATTGTAATATAAGTAATAGACACATTAGAAAAAAATATTTTAAGTCATTAATGGACCATAATTGTTGCACAAATAGTATTTAGTACCAAAAGATCTCCTCAAAATATTACATAAATATTACTGAACTAAAATATACAACACTTATTTAACTGAAAAATAGTTCAGCTGTATGGTCACATTATAAGTAAGCAATAGCCTAAGAAAACCATATTAATGTTGCCTCTCCATCACTCTCCAGAATAAAATGATACAGTAAATGTCATTGACATAATAATCAATGCATAATATGTTGTAATGTTTACCAAAAATTGCTGCAAATCGTTGTCGTGTAAATGTAGCCTTAATAATAAAAGAACTCACATGCAGGGAATAACACATGCTTTACCATAAACAAGAACCAACAAACACAGAGGGAAAACTGAGGACTTATAAGCAGGGACCAAACAAAGGAACTGATGAGATAATTAACAACACAGGTGGAACCAAATTAACTAATCAGAACTCAGGCATTGTTACCCAGCTGTACATAGAGGAGGGGCGGGACAAATACCGACCAACCATCCTACTTGCCCGACTGCCTACAACAATGGAGAAGTCAATATTACTGGTTGCTGTTTTTTTATATTTAGTAAAATTCTTAAAAATTAGATACTAGTAATACGTTGCCGCCGTGGATATTCCAAATCATAGCAACTACAGCGTATCAGCTGGAAAACTCTGTGCCACCAAAGCGTTCTCAAGGGCCCCCAGCGGATGTAAATTATTAACTTTTTTAATTTCTCATTTAAAAATCTAGTGTTTAATCATGTCTAAATATTTATTCAAATGAAGAACTTAAAAATAAGTAAACAGGTATTACCTGCAATATTCTAGATATATTTAGTAAAGAGCCATACAGCTACCTAGTGGGTAAACCATGGCATTACAAATAAATAAAAAAATCTGACCACAAAATGACTCTAATTTGCCTCTTTGCATTGGAATTTAAGACTATTTTCTCTATTTTAACCTTACATACTACACTAATGTGGATATTCCAAATCATAGCAAATCTTAGCCACCAAAGTGTTCTCAAGTGCCACCAGCTGGTCGTTTTAAGAAGAGCGCCTGACATTTTTTCAAAAATGACTCTAATTTGCCTCTTTGCATTGGAATTTAAGACTATTTTCTCTATTTTAACCTTACATACTACACTAATTGTAATATAAGTAATAGACACATTAGAAAAAAATATTTTAAGTCATTAATGGACCATAATTGTTGCACAAATAGTATTTAGTACCAAAAGATCTCCTCAAAATATTACATAAATATTACTGAACTAAAATATACAACACTTATTTAACTGAAAAATAGTTCAGCTGTATGGTCACATTATAAGTAAGCAATAGCCTAAGAAAACCATATTAATGTTGCCTCTCCATCACTCTCCAGAATAAAATGATACAGTAAATGTCATTGACATAATAATCAATGCATAATATGTTGTAATGTTTACCAAAAATTGCTGCAAATACCTGTATAATGAAGCTGTTGTCTATCCCACTTAAACCCATTCAACTGTATTGTCAGCACTGGTTTGTTTGGAAAGCTCCATGAACCATGTGACCAAGCAGTAATCACTGATGAGATCAAAGCTTGTCGCATCTCTGTTTTTCAGTGTCTCTGGCTTTAACTGAAGCACTACATTTTACGATGTACACCTCATTAAGTGTGCCAAACGGTATTTATTGTTTGAATTTAGTATTAAAACTTACAAAATTTAAAACCTGAGACTTTGTCACAAGCAGGGTTGACAATTTGGCATGAGATTTACATGAGCAGAGTGAGAGCAAGAGACAGAGCCTAAAATCGTGTCTCATGCCAAATGCATGAGAGTTGGCAACCCTGTTGTACACTGTAAAATTCAATAGTTTACCTTACTTAGATTTAAGTTAGTTTTCTTTACTTAGTTGTTATACTTACAATGTTTTATTAAGTTACAGCTACTTTCAAGACAAATAAAACAATTTACTTACTGTTTTGAGTGAAACTTACTTAAAATATTCAAGTAGCCACAAAGGAACCAATGACATTAATAAACCAGTGAGAGGCAGCAGTGCACTAATATGTTGCTAATGTGCAACATAACAACAGAAAAAGAAGAAAAGAAAAAGAGTCTTAATAGACTTTTCACCCATTTCCTCCATGTCTGCAGTTATCTTTCACTAGTTGCATTCACTCATTTCCCAAAGTCATCTTGAATGTTGAATTTTCAATACAACTGAAATATGTGAGAGAACATCACATAAGCTAACTTCATAAACTGATGTTGATACTCCTAAAATGTGTGGGTTTTTTTTTTTACTTACCATTATAGTGATTAGCGTTCCCTTTGGTTGGGCACTTGGAACTTCGTTTATGTTACTATAATTATCTTCCTGTTAATGCAGCAGTGCATCATGAAGTCAGAGATATTTGATTTCAAGGGAAGAAAAGTCAAAAAATAGATTGGTTTTAGAAGGTGATCTGTCTTCTAATTAAAGCATTAGTGTAATTTTTGTCTGTGTTTATTAATGAACTTTTTCATTTTTCATAAACACCTTGAGATGCTTTTAATTGGGTTTATATAATCCTTAAATAGTGTGTGGTAATATGCTGAAATCACACAGACTTAAACATTTAGCATGTGAATCACGACAATGGTAACAATTCAATTTCATTTATTTTCATTAATTGTAACAATGACCATTTTATTTGCTCTTTTTGTTGTGCTACTACTGACACAAATAAAATTGGCAAATAAAACCAACTGTAAAACAAAGCAACTGCATAATTTATTCTGCCGCAATGCACTCTGGGAGTCAGTGAGTAGCTATACTAAGTCATGAGTAAACCTAAATGAAAGGATCAAGTACCCCCTACAGTTCTTTTTTTAGTTACTAGAACTCTTTTGTAAGTAAACTGTACTAACGAAGCATTTGTCAGTACAACATACTATTCCTATTTCACTTTACTTCGTTTTTTCAAGGCAATCGGTTTGCATGCTTTTTTTAAGTAAGCCCAACTAATTCGATTTTACTGTAGATACAAGAATATGTGTGGTTCTGAACAGTATATAAGAATAGTAAATAACTGTACACAAGAATAATTATAATAACAAACATTTACAACCATATTAAGCAGTTACAAGGGCATTGAAATATTTCTACAATAGTCACAATAATCAGCATTATGTACAGCCTTGCTCTGAGCAGGACTCAAACTCACGGCCGTAGCATCATTAGTACCATTCCAGCGGCCTTAATCTGGCCACACACTAGACGATTTTCAAATTTTAAACGATTTTAAAACCATGGGAGACCACAGACATGAAGACAGTTGAACCGATTTTTAGCCTTATAATCCTCTGAATGTACACACTAAACGATTCGACCAGACCGTGAGACCACATACTTGATGATTGTAGGAACGATTTCAGTGACACGAGATCTCACGGAGACTCGCGAGATCAAACGTGACTACAGAATAAAAACAAATG